TCACTGGTCCCTCAGGGCCTAAGCTCTCAGGCAACATAAACAGAGGTTACTACATCAGTCAACACTGGCGATGGGTAGCTCTTAGTAGTAGTAGCGTTCGCTCGTCACGCTGAAGACCCGGGTTCGATTCCCCAGATGGGAAAAATGCTGTGAAGCTCATTTCTGGTGTCCCCTCGCCGTGATATTGCTGGAATGTGCCTTGCTAAAAGCGGCGTAAAACTTAACTCACTCCAACATCAACTTCCACTGAACAGACACTACTGTAATATTTTGTGGTTTCAATATGACAAAGGCAATATTGTGTTACACTCATTGTGTTTTCCTTACCTTCAACGGCCTGTGGGGCCTTGTTGGTGTAAGAGAGAATGTTACACACCTTTTGGTTTCCAGGTCACTCCAGCCAGGGTGTCGTTGAGTTGTTGTCTGTAGGTGTTCTCTGGTCTGGTCGGCGTCGTTCTCATTGTTCATTACAGTGTAGTGGCCTAATGTCCATGTCACGGTGGGAGCGGTTAGGGATGAACCTTGAAGAGCACATGGTGAGTGAGTGAGTGAATGAGTTTAGTTTTACGCCACTTTTAACAATATTCAGCAATATCACAGAGGGACACCAGAAATATTAGGTCACACATTGTACTCGTGTGGGGAGTAGAACCCGGTCTTGACGTGACGAGCGAACGCTTTAACCTCTAGGCTACCCCACCGCCCTGAAGAGCACATGGTAACATAGTCAGAAGTATATCATAATGGTGCTATCTGACTGCTGATGGCTAATGGTTTTATAATATTACTTGGCTAACTATTCTTTCCTATTGTTGGGCTAATGGTGCTATCCTAACACTGTGCTAAATGTGTTACTAGTATACTATTTCTGGGCTAATGGTGTCAGGGTTTTGCCACGATGCAACAAATGTGGAGAACAGGCGCAGAAATCCTAAAATACTGCGTCCAAAAGACACACAAAAATAGTTGTAGTTTATCTGTCTATACCAAAGTTCACCGGTCAGTCATGACCACAGTCCAGATGTCCAACTGACTCATACCTCTGAGTAATTATCTCAACGTACACTACACTACACCAGAGCTATAGATAACTTTTGGGTCATTGAGCGTTATGTACTCGCTTGTCTTCATCTCAATTGGGTATCCTAATTTTCCTTTGAGTAACGAAATAAATTGTACTCACCTCACCAAACTCAATTGGGTATTTTGCCATTTTCCATTAATTTTAAATATATAATAAAATTTATAAGTTAGTGTTTGTGATTTACATTTGATCTGTAATATGAGAAACGATGAAAAAGACTGCAAGTTGTCATGTTCATGTCCTGAAATAGAACCTCTCAATATACTTTAGTTATTTTATCTATCCACCGGTATGCAAGCTTCTACGATTTGACAATTCTGTGAGTACGCATGCACGATCACATTGTTTGAGTATTTACGAGGAAACTTCTGCGTACTTGTACGCAATAGACTTAATAGGAATTGAGTTTCATACATAAATATTTGCAGCTTATCTGGGTACCTCTGCTACACCATTTCAATACTTTCCAGGACCCGCATATCACCAACATGGGTAAAATTTTACCATTTTATGATGGGGTCCAGGGACTCTACTTTGTAAGTCACAGCAAAACCCTGGGGTGTGGTGTTATCCTATTTCTGGAGGCTAATGGTGCTGTCCTACTTCATAACGACTAAAACTCCAGAATTTATCCCCTCGGATTCCCCAGTCAAACTTTGAGCCAACCAGACCATGTTTAATCACCTGAACCATTTGCCAGGCAACAGCAAATAATACCTTCTGAATTCTTTACGTATGACACACAAACAGGGGATCTAGCCACCTGTCTTCTCCTGGTGTCCGTGAAGATTTGGGTTAGAATTTGTCTTCAGCAACCCGTGCTTGTTGTAGTGAGTTGGGTTTACACTGCTGTTAGCAATATTCCAGCAATATCATGGTGGCTGACACTAGAAATAGGCTTCACACATTGTACCCATGTGGGTATCGAACCCAAGGTTTCGGCATGACAAGCGAATGGTTTAACCACTGGGTTACCCTACCTCCAAGCTTGTTGTAAAAAGGCGACTAACAGGATCAGGTGGTAAGGCTCGCTGACTTGGTTGGAGACATGTCATCGTATCCCAATTGCGTGGATTGTCTGGTCCAGACTTCATTATTTACAGACCGCCGCCATATTGCTGGAATATTGCTGAGTGTGGCAATAAACAAACAAATAATCTTTTCTCTGGGTAGACACCCAATCCAGACACCACAGAAGCGTTCTAAGTGTTTACTGGATAAAGGCTAGGGCTGGGATGATACGCTTTGTCACGATACGATATGCATCGCAATATTTTACCCCACTCAGACACATTATACGACTCCGAGTTGACCAGTCCTTGTTGTACCCATGAATGGCAGGGACCAACAAGTACCATATTTTAACGTCTTTTGGTACCACGCTGTCGGGGATCGAACCCGCGACCTTCCGCTGTCCTTGGGACGCTCTAACCACTACACCACGGAGGTGGTTACGCGTTTAGGAACACAAAGCTTGTTTTCCTACTGCGAACACTGGGGTATCAACAGTTTAATACCTTTGATCAGGAACATTAACGCGGAGGCCACTCTCAAGAGCCTTCCTTTGCCACCTCATCATGGGAGCGTTGGGCATAGGGCCGTCCATCTTGGTGACCTCAGACATAAAGCACACTCTCAAAGTTGAAATGAGACATCAGGAACTATAGGAAAATAACAAGTCACTTCTTCTTCAACAATCATGGATAAGGCTTGGAACCAAAATGTTATGGAAGCAAATCACATGCCAACCATTTTGTGGAATATTTCAGCAACATCACTGTAGAGGGCACTGATATCTTCTTTGAATTTTACATGCAATCTTTAGGTATGACACAAACAGGTGAAGGAAAGATTTCCGCCCGTAACCTGCACATTTTTTAAATCATTCGATGCCTATGAATATAGGCCAATGGTTTTTATAAACACAATAAACCTTACCCTAAACCCTGGAAATAATCCTAATAAATAGAATACATTTCAATTGGGGATTAGGGTCAGAACTCTTACCATGGTGAACAAACCACCAGCCTTTCTCTGGCTAGATGGTCTATCCACATGCAATGGACTTCAAACACTGTACCCACATTGAGAATCAAACCCGGTCTTTAAAGTGATGAGCAAACACTTTAACCACTGAGCCACCTCACTGTGGAAGGCTGACGTTAAGTGGTTAGGGTATTAATCCATTCACCACCCTGCAGTATCATAAGACAAACGTATGTGAACAATTGTAATTAGTGTCAGAAAATACATATACACCCATGCATTATACATGTTAGTGAACGCTATGTATCGGTAAGAGTTCCTCCCTTTCCCCCATCCCAAATAATATGTATAAATATTCTAGAATTATAAACAAAACTTAACACAACAATTACTAGAGAACTCACAAAATGATTTTTTTTAAAGTCCAAAATTTAAGTTAGGGCTAGGTTTAGGGTTAGGGTTAGGGTTAGGTTTAGAGTCTGGTTTAGAGTTGGGGGAACGGAAGGAACTCTTTCCCATTATACATGTTAGTGAACGCCTTGTATCTTAACTACCTTAGCATCGGATCCTTGAACGCAATTAGTGAACAAGCTTGTGAACTTGTGAATTGGTCTATTTGTTGTTTTGACACTAGATTTGAAATGCCTATGACACTGGACAATCACGGGGACAATAAAATAAACATTTCATGCATTTCCTAAACACAACATCATGATTCTAAATTATATTTGTGTAACATGGACACTGTCGACCGCGTGAGCCCAAAACGTGTTGGAAGCACCGTGGAACACTGTTCTCACGTGCTAAGAGTCAGCATGAAAACAAACAGGCATATTCAGTGTCCATCATTTATGTGTTCCGTTCCGAAAGGTCTCACATATGTCTACGACAGGCACTCTTCAAATGCAAACTCTTTACATGCATTACATATTCGCTCATTTCTAGGTTCCTTACTTTCTCTACCAGTCTCTCTCTCTGTGGAACGAAATGCTCGTGTATATATATGTTAAATGATATACTTTTTTTCAAGTTGGCCTTTTTATGATTGTTAGTAGTATAGTAGGTGGGAGCAGACGGTCCTTTTGGTGGAGGGAAGGTGGAGGGAAGGTAAGGACATGGATTGGCTGATGTAAGTCACGTGATCATAGCTGATAGGCAAATATAGACAGCACGTCACAGGTCAGGAAAGTTCAATGAAAGGTGTGGGTGTTTTAAAGGCAGTCGTGCAGAAAACTCTTCATTAAGCGAGAAAAAACACAAAAAGCAAAGTGTCCTGAATAGAGCTATGTATAGCATGCTGCTTAGAATAGACAGACAGACAGTACCCGTCAGCCAGTTTTGAATTGAGCACGCTTGACAACTCACGTGACTCCGTCATTTTAAATACCCCACGCTCGACAGAGGGTGCGACCTGTTTTGATGAATGCAGGCTGTGTGTGTGTGTTGAAAGTACGTCATATCACAAAAGAGACGGGTTGTGTCAACATGGTTCGCAGATGGAATCTTTGAGTCATGTAAAATGTCGTTGAAAAAAACAATCATTTCTTACAGAACGCGTCCTGTACAAGTATAACACCATTAAAGTAATGGAAAGTTGGTGTAGGTTTATATGTTATTTCATACTAGTTTTTTTTCCATCCAAATATAGGTGATGAGAAATAAATGATTTTGAGCCATATACACTAAGGGATACAGTTTTACTAGACAGCGAGATGTTTGAAAAAAAAAGAGGCTTGAAATACACATGGATAGAAGCATATCAATATCATATAGCACACAAAATACCATGAAAGTCATGTCATTTGGAGAGAGACGAAAGAAAATAGAAATAGGAATCTGCTTATTGAAACAGTTCTGGCGTGCCCTGCTCAGACAGAGAACAGATTTTAGAAATTTAGGACGTGACACCCTCCTACCTCATCATTTCAAAATGCGTAAACTGTGTAAGCTCGTATAAAATATAGATAGTTATACCTCAGTCCAATAAAAAAGAACTCACAAAAATATCAGTGACATTTTTGAAAATAACTAAATCCAGCTTCAGTTGTAGATAGCATCACATTATAGGCAACGTGATCACACTGAAAAAAACATAGTTCACAAAGCATACTCAAGGAGGACGACATGCATGACAGAACAGTCAATGCAACAGGCAGGTGTGAAGGAAAAGGTTCAATGTCTTTTCACCGTGTGAGCATACATGGGTGGTCCCTATCCCAACCCGTCAGTCATGTCTACAGCGAGATACACAGGCGCGTTGAATGGATAGTTACTATATGTCAATCATTATTCGTAAAATATCCTATATAGACATCATCTGCACACCAGACCGTTATTTTAGTTTCAACAGCGAAGCGAGACAACATCAACGTTTACTGTCTCCTGACTGAACATGGCCTCAAGAAACGCGTGAGTGTAGCTCTCAGTATTTCATTTAAATAAATGAGAATACTATACAGTTAACAAATGTTTCTGGTTTGAGTGAAAAAAAGGTATATGTTACTAAAATAATTATGGTGTGTCTCATTACCAACTTTATGAAGAAAACAATGTTGTATGTATAGTATGAATTGAAATTAATGTTCTGTCTTTCAGACCATTCACCTGTCGAGAGTGTGGGAAAACGTTTTCCCGAAAAGATAACCTTTTCCGACACATGCGTTGCACTCATGAGAGAGGAGCGACCACATGTTTGCGATAGGTGCAGTAAATCATTCACAAGACATGAGAAGTTGAAACAACACACATGTGCCCTATCGCAGCAAAGACTATCAGAATATCGATGTAGCGTAAGTTTTCATTCTCATTTTATTGTCGCGAATGGAAGGTTAATTTGATTAGATCGCTATATGAACTTATGCAGGATTTTTATCTTCGTATGCTTTTCAAAAGCTAATTCCGTGAGATTTCATTTTAACACAAATGCTTCATTTTATGTTGAAAACGTGTACGTCATGTTATGTTAATATGAGTGTCGTTACTAAACTCGAACAGTCCCTTTAATAACACTGCTTTATTTCTACATACAGAAATGCCCCGAGGTGTTCCCCTCTCCCCATGACTTGACAGTGCATTTTCGACGGTTTCACTCTAGTGGTAAGTTGAACGTTCCATAATGCCTTCGGTAGTAAATGTATGTAAGACATGACTTATCGCATTGAACACAACACGTTCGTGACTTCGAGCTTATCGTTTCACTTGAATGAAATATGCTCATATAGGTTATAAATTGAACATATCTTCTCTCCACAGGCGCATCACAGGCGTCACGTGATGATGCACAGCCGTCTACCTCGAGAGGAGTATCGATTAGTGAGGGTAAGTTCGTTTTTGTATCTCTCTACCACTTATTCATGTACGATGTTGTCTAGCATTAACGAGGTTCTCATACAAGCAAAGGGTTTCAATGTGTGTGTGTGTGCGTGCGTGCGTGTGTGTGTGTGTGTGTGATGTGTTTGTAGATAGTGTTAACCGAGAACGTTTCCAATAAACTGTTTTGTATTTCAGGGACAAACCACCCTACACCGTCCACCTCCTCGGCCAGGCTGCAAGGACGAGAAAGTCTCGTGCTAGTGGAGGTAGATATTGAATCGTATTCTATAAGCTATAAGGGATTTAGCTAGCCCTGAACGATAAATTAATTCAGTTCATCGTGGTATTCGCATTGAAAGGAAGATATAATGTGATAATCGTGAGTTATACTTGAAGCATAAGACCTGGTAGTGAGTGGTGAGTGAGTGAGTGAGTGAGTGAGTGAGTGAGTGAGTGAATAATGCGATCCTAGTATTCATACATTGAATTTGTTCTCTATCACCAGCTCCCTTGTCTTCCCACGTCGCAGCATTGGATGGTTGTACCTGCCGGGCATGTCATAGGCGTTTCGAGGATCGGTTGTCTCTCTACCGTCATCAGATGATAGAGGGACACCGCGTCCTACCATCACAGTCCGGCGGGAGTAGGGATACTGATGCTGCTGCTGGCAGTGAGCTCCAACCACGTCCATGGGGAGAAGGTCCCGCTCCATGGGTAGACGAGAGCACTGGCGAGGTGACGGAGCCCGGACTCCAGGAAGCCTATGACCTGGACGCTCCGTACATCCTTGCACTACAACCTCCCCCTTAACAACAACTTTTCGATAGGTGAGTTGATGGAACGTGCTAGGGATATCTATCAATCGTTAAATCATAGTTTTAGATTGAATTTAGCGTTCGGTGTCATCCTACGTCACGTGGAGACGGGGACGCTATCGCTATTTCCATCCTTACACTGTCAATCCGCTCTTTACTAGTCCTCTCTATATCACCGAGTTGGAGGATCTCGAACAGTTACGCCAGAGACGGGAAGGCTTAGATGTCATGTCCTTTCTCATGAAACAAGCCCCGATACCAAATGGAAACCTGTTTTGATTACCAATGTGAATTTCTTTATTTACAGAACAAATTTTCCGCTCGGCCACCCTCCAGTCCCTCTCCCGAATATATAAAAATCATAAAGCTATCCTTTCTTTAGATTATAACAAGAAGACTAAACAACTTTATAAGGATCACTTATGCGCTTTCCGGTGTTTGGCATTGCATCGAGATCCTACAAAGTCGAGGTGCTTTAGAAAAGCCTACCAAAGCTCTTTACTATCAGTGGGTCGTACTGTCGGGACCATCATCTCCAGTCTTTCGATTAGATTAGTCCCGAAGAGTATAAAGGTCTCGACCCAGCTCTCTTACCTCACTTTGAAGCCTGTTTCCGTGTGAATGTGAGCTGTTCACTCTTGACGCTATAACAGGGATAGCTCAACCCATGTATAAATCTAGAGGGTGTATCAGGACCACATGTACTTAAACCGATTTGAAAATCACCTCTCCTCATTACCAGTATGAACATCTATTGTAAACGCTACCAGTGTCCCGTGGGAACGTCTCTTCCGGCGTGTTGATCTGATGCAGAAACACCACCGTCGTTGCACAGGTCAAACGACTTTGCGGTTCCCGGGTGGTTTCCACCACAACCCAAAGACCGTGTTTGACGAGCTGGAAGAGTTCGACTTCGTCGTGGAGGCTAGAGACAGATATTTTCCATGGTTCATGGTATTCGATTTTGAGTGTTTTTTTAAACCCATGAATACCGGAACCTAAAAACTGAGATGGACACAAGAACACCACCCCATCTCAGTCAGCATGTGTTCCAATGTGGAAGGGTTTACTTCACCACACTGCATTGTCGATTCCGATCTGGATCGATTGGTTGCTGCCATGTTGGCATACATGATGGAAATAGGCAAAGCCGTTAACAAGCTAGCCAAAGAATAATATAAAGAGGTTTTAGAAAGCTTGCACGAGTGCATAAAGTCGTTGCCTGTGGAGGACCAAACGACTGTTGACGATTATGATGATGATGATGTCAACGTCAGGAGGGTGACAACCACCCCGCCCATAGCAAACCTACTCGCACACACTCTACACCCGAGGCTAAGTGGGGAAAGCACGTGAAGCGATCTCTGCGGGGAAGCTTCTAGGGTACTGTTCTCAAGTCCCCGTCCTCGGATTTAATTCAGCTCGTTACGACCTGAATACCATTAAGGAGAAACTACCCAAACATCTCTCTCGACGACAAAGGAATCTCAGGCTTTCACCGTGAAGAAAAACAATGCTTACTTGTGTCAAAGTAATCAAAGTTTCAAATTTCTTGACGTCACGCCAATATCTCTCCCCGGAACGAGTTATGCTCAGTTTCTGAAAGCATTCGCGCAAGAGAGAAAGGATTTTTCCCGTATGAGTATCGACACTCGAAAAAGCTAAACGCGGACTTCGGCTTCCCCTCTGGGCAAGGCATGGTATTCCAGTCTCAAACAGAAGTCCGTCCTTGACAATGGTGTGAAATCGATCGAGGAGAATTATGCCGACCTCGAGGAAGTTTGGAGACTGGAAGGCATGTCCACGTTTCGAGATTTCCTCGAGTGGTATAACAATCTGGATGTGGGTCCCTTTGTGGAAGCGTTACAAGCCATGCAGCGGTTTTATTTCGAGGACGGTATCGACCTCTTTAAAACCACTATGTCGGTACCCGGTGTGGCCCGACAGAAATTGTTCCGAGAGAGTCAAAAGAAAGGGGTCTCCTTTGCTCTGTTCGATAAACGCAACGAAGACCTCTATCACACCGTAAAGGCTAACGTGGTCGGTGGTCCTTCTATTATATTCACGAGGTACCACAAAGCCAATCAAACGTTGATTAGAGACCATCCCGACAAGCGGTGTAAAAGGGTGGTTGGGTATGGCTATAAGCGTGTTATACTTGTGGGCTATAGATCAGCCCATGCCCACGGTCCTTTCGTTAGAGTAGGAGAGCCGAGAATCGATTCAAGCGAACGCAGGGACAGGTATGCGTGCATGTACGACTGGATGGATTGGTTGAGGGAGCAGGAAGGGCGGGACATTCGACACAAGTTAAACTGGGGGCGGGAAAAACGAGTCGGGCCATACTTGGTGGATGGGTTCATTCCCGGCTCCATGACCGTATACGAGTTTCATGGATGCTATTTCCATGGCCACCATTGTCACGCAAACAGCAGCTCAGGAAAAATTACGAGAACGATTGGAACAAAAATTAAAGGCAACCAGAGCGCGTGTTGCTTATATCCGTGATCTGGGTTACACGGTCGTGGAAATGTGGGAATGTAACTTTCGCGCCGAATGCAAAACTAATTCCCAGCTCTCGTCCTTTATCCGAGGTCGACAACCACCTTTTTCTCAAAAGAAAGGGTGGAAGCAGGTCTCGGAACGGGACATGTTGAACGCTGTGGAAAAGGGGGAACTGTTCGGTATAGTGGAAGTGGACATTCGCGTCCCCGATCACTGGATGCCCGGACAGAACCCTCGCGGCACTCGTCTCTCCCGGGGAGTACTTTCAAGAGATGACTCCCCTGTTCTGCAATGCAGAAGTTCCTTCGAGAGTCCTCGGGGAACACATGAAGGAGTACATCAAGGAACTGGCGACTTGACTACAAAACCGCCGTATGCTCGTTGGCGGGTTAAAGGTGCTTGCGGAAAATCCTGATCGCCACCCCTCTGTTGCAATGGTATTTACAGCACGGCATGGTGGTCGATCGTGTACCAAACCAAGTCGTCGAGTACACCCCAAAGCGAGTGTTTTCAGCAGTTTGTTGGGGACGTGTGCTCAGGCAGACGAGAAGCAGACCGAGATCCCTCAGCAGCCATTTGCGGGGATACGGCTAAACTTATGGGCAACTCCGCGTACGGTTCGGTATTGATCAATAAAGAAAAACATCAGACCGTCTCGTACGTGTGTGGTCAAACGAAGGCTAGCACTCAAGTCAATTTACCTCAATTCAGGAAATTGACGGAACTAGGTTGGGGTTATTTCGAGGTGGAGAAAGCCAAGAAAGTCTTACACCTCGATACGCCCGTGCAGCTAGGGTATTTTATCCTGCAGTACGCCAAACTGCGCATGCTTCAATTTTACTACGATTTCATGGACGTGTACGTGGATCGTAGCGGTTTTGAATACATGGAGATGGACACGGACAGCGCTTACATGACTTTGAGCGTGAAATGTCTGTCCGATGTCATTAAACCCGGCAAACAGTTGGCGTACCAGCACCAGTTAAAGGGGCCCTGTGGTGATAATAACCCATACGATAGCTACCCACGGCGTTGGTTTCAGCGCGGTTGCTGTTCTGTCCACGCCCTTCACGACAAACGTACTCGGGTTTATTCAAACTCGAGTACGAAGGAGACGAGATGATCGGGCTGTGTAGTAAAAGCGTACTTGGTGTCACAGTCCAGTCTTCAGCAAACTCCAAAGCCAGCGCCGAGCTCGGCGTGCTGAACGGCACAACGTTTACTACGCCGAGCTCGCCAACGCTTCGATCGCATCAAGCCCGTCAATAACAAGGCCCGACGCCTCCGTTCAACCACCCTATCGTCGGTCATTTCGAACGCTGGGTAAAATTCTCCTGTAAAGGCATCTCAAAACGCACATTGAAAACACCACTAAGAGCGTTTAGAGATGTTTTACGTACGCGAGTACCCGGCGAGGGGTTGAACAGAGGTTTCCGACTCAAGGGGAATATCATGTGTTCCTATCAACAGAAACGTCAGGGGTTGAGTTATCTCTACTGTAAACGTCGAGTGTTGAACGACGGCAGTCACACGGCACCTCTCGACCTCGAGCTTTGTCCCTGGTCTGCCCGTGATGGTAGGTTGGATGACACCGAAACCTTTTTAGCCCAACTTTTAGAAAATTTAGCTGAAAATTAAGAAAAGGTCATCCCCCCCTTGCGTTCCCTCAACTCCAGTAGTGTACATATTGTAGTTATTTATATATATTTATTTATTATTAAAAGCATATTGTGTTAAACATATCAAGTATTTCTATCAAAGGTATTCTCTTTACCAGCTGTGATATTTTGGTTTCTCAAACCATTTTCCTATAATATTATTATAAATTAAATTAATGTTTGTCAAATGTATATACGTGAATAAATCTATGTTATTCTGGAAAGTGTTCGTTGTCTTGTCTTATGATATGTATGTCTACTTTCTAGAAGTCGTGTATGAAAAAAATAATAATACAGCAATTTACATTCAAGCCATATCCACTGGAAAAATGTACCGTCTATGATTCCGGTATAGAGTACACTGTGAGAAAATAAGACTAGTTCCCTTTGGTGTAGGTGAAACGAGGCTATGACTAAGTTTCATGGGAACCATTCTGTACGGTCTACTCCCAGTTGTGAGACTCCCAGTTGTGAGACAGTGGACTAGGTAATTAGCAAAGAAAACACACCTTACTCCCCTATCTGATAGAATGGATTAACCCCAGCTAATTATGGATTAGCTATTAACTGAATCTTGGGGAGGTAACTTAATAAAACTCTAAAAGATAAAGTAATTAACCTACTCAGATAAATGGCTTTAAAAAATGACTCCTCTTTCGGATCACCATTATGGCAGGCCTTCAACAAGTAGAATATATCGCCAGTTCACGATAAACTATGCCTCTTGCGGGTACTCTTCAGCAACAGGGATGTTCCCATTTTCATCGTAGGGATGGGGAAGCACCACCTGTGTGCATTGAACCA